CAACCAAGTGCGCAAAGGGATGGCCCTTGCTCTGTGGTTCCTTCTCGGGTTACATCCTAAGGGGCTGTCCAGGGCCTCCCCCGGTCAGGAGAGTCTGACATGTGAATTGGGTGGGCCGGAACCTTGTTTTCAGAGCCTGCAACACCTCCCTTTCCGCCTTCTCCCCAGCTTCCTGCCTGGCCTAGTGGCTGACAGCTCCGTGCCCCCACCCCAAGGCTAACCTGGGAGGTGGGGAAAGTGCTGCCTCAGGCACCTTGCTGCTCTTGGGGTCCCATCCACCCAGGTTCCCAGGGTCTTCGTGGGCTCCTCCGGCAGCGTCCTCATCCACAGCCCGGCCCTTCACCCTTCCTATCCCCAGATGCTCCGCCTCTACTCTCAGTGGGCACTCATGACCTGAAAACAGTCTGTAAACCCATCGATGCTAGTTGTGATTGCCCTGTGGGCAGGGATGATGTCTTCTCCATGCCTCCAAGGTCTCCACACTGCCTGGTGCACCAGACCCCTCCCATACATTTATGCAGTCATCAGTTGAATGGGAATGAACATGGGTGAGTGAGTTAGAATTAAGTTACCCCTCTCATGGGTATGTGCATCTTGTTCCTTTAACTAAATCCCTGTGTGAGAGAGATTTGATGGCAAAGCATTTTCCACGGGCCAGAAGATCTCATCTAGTAGGTGTCTTGCCTACAGGTAAGTGGATCCTGCCTAGGGTGGATGGGGGCTGCTTGGTGAGTCCGAAGCTACACTGGTGGGACAGAGGAAAGAAGCGATGGGTTTTTTGTTTCTTTTCTTTTCTTTTCTTTGGCTTTCTGAAAATGTTGCCTAGAAGCAACCTGGATTCTGCCCAGCCTGCAAAAAGAGAATCATTCACCACTGTGGCTGCCCCAGCTGCAGGAAGCATTGAAAGAGTGGTCCATCCTCTGGCAGCCCGCCAAGCGTGAGGATAAAAGTCAGAGGGGAGATGAGGACAGCTTGTGGTGGGAGACAGAGGGGGCAGAGCAAATGCCAGGGAAGGAGCTGGAATCTGACGCACAGCACTCTGGGAAAGGCTTTCCAGGGAGAGCGAACAGCGTCAAGGCCAATGACTAGAAAGTGTAGCTTTGTTGGGCAAAGCATTTAGCAAGCAAGGTAAGAGACTAATTAAAGAAATCTGAAAGGCCAGTTAGGCTCTCATTATGGAGGTCCTTAGGCCATGCTGAAGAATTTGAGTTTTATTCCAGAGGCAATAAAAGCATTTTAGGATCTTTTAGAAACAAAAAAGTGGAATAATTAGGGAAATAAAACATTTTTCTGAGGCTCAAAGGGCAGAAATTTTGCTAGGTATGTAGCGTATGCCTACAAACCCAGCACTTGGGAGGCTGAGGCAGGAGGATCACTGTGCATTAGAGGCCAGCCTGGGCTACAAAGTGAGTTCAAGGACAGCCTGAACTACATAGTGAGACCCTGTCTCAAAAAAAAACAAAACAAAGAATAAAGGTAGGAATTTTACAAATGTTACCAAGTATAATCTTCACAGTCATCCTACGAAGTTGGTGACACAATTAGGAATTTGCCCAAGTCACACAGATATCATTTCTCACATGAATTTGTGATATGTATCTCGTGTGTGGGGGGTATTTTTTTTATTTTGGGGGTTTTTTGGGGTTTTTTTTTTTTCCAGTACTAGGAATCGAACTCACGACCTTGCACTTGCCAGGCAGGCGCTGTGCTGCTGAGCTAAATCCCCAGCCCCTATCTTGTGTGTGGATACATTAAATGAGAATGTGCCCCAGAAAAACCAGACTAGATCTCAAGGGAATAAAAAGGGCATTTAAGAACACAAGAAATGCTGAGGTTATCCCAAGAGTCCAGTGAAAAAAATGCCAAGGGGACAGCTGTTTAGTGAACCTCAATAGAAGTTCATGCTCGGTAAAATGTTCATGATCCATAAAATGTGTTGCAAGGAGAATGGATTCTAAGCAACACATAAAGTAAAGAAGAAGCAAGTGATAAACTAGGCATACTAGTGCATGCCTGTAATTCTAGCACTGTGGGAGGCTGAGGCAGGAGAATCATGTTCAAGTCCAGTCAGGGCAATTTAATGACTTAGCTAGACCCTATCACAAAATTAAAAAGAAGAAGGAAGAAGGAGGAGGAGGAGAGGGGAATCTAAGTGGTAACTGGGACATGACAATAAAGACCTACTTCTCTTTGCTCAAGCAGAAAAAAAACAAAGCAATCAAAAACTTTAGGAAAAACAAATCCTTAAACAAGGAAGGCCCAAGCCAAACTGAAGCAACATAAGAGGTAGGGTGCAGTTTAGCAAGTGGCAGTAAGGAAAGTAAAAAGTCTTCTTGTCCTTCGAGTGACACAGGTGTCTGCCTGAACATTAAGGAAGGGAATACAACCATAGTCAGCATTAGGCCTCGTGTCCACTTACCCACACAAAACACACCGCTCTGGATGAGATCAGAATTTTAGAATGGGCCACAGACAAGGAAGGAAGAGTTCACTGTGGTTTCAGGACAGGATGTAATGTTAGCCCACCTGACAGTGTAAAAATAAATCGCTGAGGCAAGAGGTGAGAAAAGAGGCGTCGGGAGGGCAGGTGGTAATGTTAACACCCGCCTCACAGAGAGGGAGCCAAGTGCTGCTGAGGCTGATGAAGCAAAGCTAATGTCAAGGCCAGGCGCAGCGGTGCAGGCCTGTGATCCCAGCACTTAGTAGGCTGAGGCAGGAGGATCACCTTGAGTTGGAGACCAGCCTAGGCTACATAGTGAATTTGAGGCCAGCCTGGACTACAGAGTGAGACCCTGTCTACAAAAAAAAAAAAAAAAACTAATGACAGAAGAACTAGAAATGATGGTACCAGTCAGGAAATAGGGAACTACGACAGGGATCCGAGTTCACACAATTACCGGAGCCAGTTGCACCATCTAAGGGAGATGCAGCCTCCGTGTCTGCTGTTGGAACGGAGGCCATCGGAACTGGCAGCTGGGAAGAAAAGGTGGAAGTGGGGTGGAGGAAGGACCGAAATCTGCATCTGTCTCCCTCTGCCCCCAGTCTCCATGAGTGAGGGGTCTTGACAACAGGAGCCCCTCCAGGGAGCTCACCTGGCCAGGACCCAGGTAAGCGGAGGAGAACGGGGAGGAGCTGGAGGAGCCCAGGGAGGCGCCAGCCAGGTGAGCAGAGTATCAGTGAGCCTCAGATGGTAAAAGCAGCTGTCGCTTCCTCTCTGCCTTCCAAAGGGGCACAGACTTCCCCCATGTCCTCCCCTGACCTGAACAGTGCAGGGGAGAGAAGTTGGGGAAATGTCCCCGTTTAGTTAACTGACACACTTATTTAACACTCTCTGAAACACGGAGACGAGACAAGGGTGATGGATGGCTGCAAGCTGGGCTCCCTGGAAGCAGATGCTGAAAGGGACCGGGGTGCCTGATGTTCATCAGGATGAGAGCTGTAAGAAAAGGGGGAGGAGAAAGGACGTGAGGAGAGGAGAGATGTCAAAATGCAACGCAGACCCAGCCCGGTCTCCACCAGCAGCGTGCGCACTGGAGTGAGCGCGGACCGTCAGAGTGCCCCGGGTTGGGCCAACGAGCCTGGCCGTTCCCCTCTCGCCCTGCAGGGCCCCTGGCAGGCTGTGAGCTCCAGTGATGCAGCTCTGTGCAGCCGAGTGGACTCTGACAGGCTGGTGATGGCAGCTGGCTGCTGGCTGCACTCCCTAGGGCTGGGCAGCAGGGTGTTCTTGACCAGGGTTCTGGGTGCTGCAGCTCTGTCTTCGGATGAGCTATGTCCTGCTTTATCGGAGCAGGGAGCCACCAGAAAACAACAGAACACTCAGCCCTGCACACTGACAGGTTCCACTTGGGTTCAACTAACTATTGGTCAAAAATAACTGAAAAAAATTCATTTGGGCTGGGGGTGTGGCTCAGTGATGTAATACTTGTCCAGTCACATGAGGTCCTGGGTTCAATTCCAGTGCACAAAAAAATTATCTACTAAATACACAAGTCTTTTTCCCTACCATTACTCCCTAGATACATATTATAGCAACTATTTACATGTTATTTATATGAGATAGGACACAAGTAATGGTTTAAAGTATACGGGAGGACATGTATGGGTTATAAAGAACTTGGGCATCTGTGGATGTTGGTGTCTTGGAGGGGGGTCCGTAACCGAACCGCCATGGATACAGAAGACAACTGTATCAGCAAGGTGCCCAGAGACATGGTAGTGAACTGGTAGAACCAGAAACCAACACTGTTTTGTTTTTGTTGTTTTGTTTTGTTTTGGTTTGGTTTGGTTTTGGGGGGTTTTTTGGTACTGGGAATTAAACTCACAATCTTGCGCTTGCCGGGCAGGCGCTGTACTGCTGAGCTAAATCCCCAGCCCCAATACTGTTAAAAGGAAGCAAAATTGAACAAAAAATTGGAGGCTGCCTTTTAAATGTAAGTCTTGTACAATTTCTTTTTCCAGTCACGTGATTAAGGAGTCATAAAGTTTGAAAAATTCAGATCTGTCTTAGTCTAAAACTGCGTCCCAGAGTCACACCCCAGGGAGCTAACCAGGCAGCAGGGCCAGGCCAATTTGAGGGACCAGACAGACCTCCTGCGTTCTCCATGGGAACCAGGCACAGCTCTCAGGGGCGAGAAGCCAACCAGGTCCTTCAGTGTGCGCGCCACACGGATGGGTGCCCCTGCACTGGGAGTCATGGGAAATACTAGCCCCCACACTGTGTTACACTGTGTGTGATGGGGGATTTACCATCACTGAGAACAAGGGTGTCCTTGTGAATATTCACATTCCTCCCAGGCTTTAACATCCATGGTTCAGGCAGAGCAGCAGGGTCCTGCCGTCTGGAAGACATCAAGGCTGGTTTGGCCCAGAGGAGGACTGGGCGTCTCCAGGGTGGAGCGTCCTCCACCTGGGCTGCCAGGGCGCCAGCCCCAGCTGATCAGATGATCATTCTTGTTTTGTTTATGTATTTATTTTTCATTTATATTTATTTTCAACTGAGATATTGTAAATATTGTAAATATTTACAGGGTGCCATGTGATGTTAAAATACATACGTCCACTGTACATGTTCAAATCATGTTAAATATATTTATCGCCTCAAACATTTATCATTTATAGTGTAAACATTCAAAACCTTCTCTTCCAGCTTTTTGGGATGCATAGCGCATTATCGTTACCCAAGTCCCGCAACTTTCCACGCAACAGAGCGTCAGCGCTTGCTGCTCGTGTCTCGCAGTACACAGCCACTGACCCACCTTTAGCCTTCCCTCCACCCCCTGTTCTCCCCAGCCTCTCTGGTCACTACCAGGCTGCTCTTCGCTTCTGTGCAATCAACTTTTCATCTTCTGCGTATGAGTGAGATCAGGCAGAACCTGTCTTTCTGAGCCTGGTTTGTTTCATTTCGCATAACCATCTTCACTCCACCTACATTGCTGCAAGCGGCAGGATTTCATCCTCTTTATGGCTGAATAGTATTCCATGTTGTAAATGTACCACATGTTCTTTGTCCATTCGTCACGGATGGACTCTTCGATTGTTTTCTTTTCTTGAATTTCCTGGTTATCACGAATACAGCTGCAATAAAAGTGAGAGTGTAAGATGTCCTCTCAATGTACTGATTTCACTCTCCTTGGATATATACCAAACATGGGATTGCTCAATTATGTGGCAGTTTCATTTAAAATTTTTTTTAAATCCATACTGTTTAGATTTCTTTTAGTTTTTTAAAAACCTCCCTAAGTTTTTAGGTTTTTGACTAGAATATAATGGCAATACTGAAAGTTTGGAGAATAAAGGAAAGTTCCCCATAGCCCCTCAACCTAACACAGTCAGTCACTACTTTCTTGCCATGTTTTTTTTACTTTCTTTCCTCTTTGTCTTTTTTAAAATTCATCACATTGTACACTGTGTATGGTCTTCCCGGTATACACAGGTGTTAGCTCCTGCATCTTCTGCTAAGTTTATATCACAAGAATTTTTCATGTTGTTCTCTGGGCTTCAGAACTATCATTTTAAAAAGATAGTAGTAACAGGCCAGAGAGCTGCATGATATAAAACCAGGGGTTTTGTCACAGGACCTAGGCATGCAGGATGCTGGTACATACCACACAATACTTTTTTTTTAATTTGTAAAGTAAAAGGGTTAGGGTTGAGGCCGAAAGTCCAAATAGTATGGTGCGGGCTTTGGTGAGGTCCCATGGCAGATGGTAGGGAACAGGAGGAGGAAGTGACACGGCTCTAACCCGGAACCAGGGCGCACACACACACACACACACACACACACACACACACATGCCCAGGGACAGATGGGATGAAAAATTGGGCCATAGTTTGTCTTCCGAGCTTCCACCTGTGAGATAGTTAAGAAATTTGTCTTTCCAACATGTTACCCTATTTGTCCCCATCCCTGCACCCTGCATATCCTTTATTTTTTTCCTATTTTACTCAATTTTCCCAGCACAGCCCCAAGCACTGCTCTTTGCCACCTCTCCCCGATCACAGGGCTCCTCCTTCATGGATCATAAATCAGCTGGGCATGTGCTGAGTTTGGTGCTGAGTACACGAGAAAAACCACAGGGCGTTAATGGTGAATCAGCAGAGTAGGAAGCATCCCCAGCTGTGTGGGACCCTCTGGAGCTGGGGCTCCCACACCCCTCAGAGTCAACCTGTCCTGTCAACACCACTGTCACCACTGAACACCTTCATCCTGACACCGTGGCCCCAACCCTGCCAGCTACTATGCCTCAGTGCTTACATTTTTCATGTGAATTTAAACATTCAAACATCACGAACATGGGATGGAAATGTGTACTCTGCCATGGCGTTTTAATGAGATGCAACTGGGTTCAGCACTCCCCATACTTCCAGTTGCATAAAAGCTTCCCAGCTAGGATCACTGCCTCAGGTCTGGCCCATTACAGCCAAGACAAACTGCGCCCTCTAAACTCCGGGAAGGTTAGGAAGAGCTGTGTCTGGGCAGGTGGTCCACAGCCACTGGGCACTTTGCTGATTAGCCGGACCACGCCGGCAAGCCAGCTGCTCACTGCTGTGTCCCAGGCGCTTCCCCGCTGGTCTCAACCCCTCCTGTAAGAAGAGGGAAAGGGCAGGGAGTGGTCTTGCATTCCATGTCGGGCCGTCCTCAAATGTGGATTCCTTCTCACATCCCAGTGGCAGAAGCACCGCCATGTGGGCATGTCAGGAGCAAGACGAAGCTGTGCAGCCTGTGCCCAGCTCAGACTCAGGAGTCTGTTCTGAAAGTGGGGAGGATGGCTATCAGTGGGCAGACAGCACATTCCAGCGTATGAGCCAGAGCAACCCACAGGTGGGGGACAAGGGAGACCCAGGGAGGCTCAGAGGCAGCAGCCTCTTGTTACCTCATCATTTGCTCCCTGCTCGCTCCGTAGCTCCTGGCCAAGATCTCCCTGAACGCAGCCTTGCCAGGGACCTGGGTATGAGTGTGGTGGGGACAGAATAAAATGGTTTGCATAGAAACTGGCCTTATCCATGGGGGCTTACATCTTAAAAGGCAACATGACCGCATAACCAGGACACGCTGGCCGCAGAACAAGGCCTGGAACCAACAGGTGACTGGATAGAAAGCCCTCGGTGGTTCTTCAAGCTTGGCCTCCCGTCCACCTCCAGCGCCCGCCGCCTGCCCCTGTGCACTGCTCCTCCACTCCAGCTACTCTCCCGGCATGTTGTGTGCACACTCACCTCTGTCCTCTGCTCTGCTGGTCTAGCTCAGGTAGCAGCCCCTCCCAACATGCCCTGTATCTCCCACGCAAAATTAGTCTCTTCCAGCTCTGTAATTCCAAAGCACTGTGCTATGTGCAGATCCAATCACCATCACATGCTATTGTGACGGATTGTGTATAAATCTGGGTTACTCCACATGACCTAGAATTTCACCCTCTCTTATACATTCAATGCTTAACAGTAACACCTGGAAAACAATAGTTGTCCATGCTTAATGAGTGAATGCCCTTTCTATGTGTCTTATCTCTGGTGCAGAGCACATTGCCTAGCAATAGCGTTCAATAAATATGGTTTGATTGGTTTAAGTAGAACTTAATTAAAATGCAAATAATAGACCTACCCAGAGAAGCAGAAGCAGGTACAGAAAAGCCTGGACAAAAAGGCACAACTTTCCTGGTGCCAGCACAGTCCTGCTGCACTCAGAGTCCGCGGGTGTCGTATATCCAGCAGGGTCTGCCAGACACACGCCACGTCTTGCTGTGCATTTGGCAAATTTTCTGGAGTTTGCTCCCTTTGGGGCTCTTTCTCTTCTCCCCTGCATTCACTTGCTGAGCCTTGGGGGGCCGGTGGGTGGGATGAGAGATGACAGGACTGCTGCAGGAATGAGGTCTGGCCGGGTTGGTCCCCCAGCACCAAGGAGAGGTACCACTGGTAAGGAAGCTGCAGCTGCCCAGCAGCTCATGAGAGGCCGGTGCCACGGGCAGGCTGAACACCCATCCTCTGGAAGCCAGGCCACTGGGTCAGGCCAGGGCTGGGGTACAGGACTAGTCCTCACCAGAACCCTCATCTGAAAGCAGGTCAGTGCGGAGCAGCTTGGCACCTCCGTGACTTTCTGTGCGGTTGGTAGGCAGCGACCGGCCTGAAGAAAGAGAACCAGGCGAGGAAACTTGTAAGGTTCCAACCTCGTTTGCAACTGATGAACCTGTGAAGTTGAGAGGCTTCTCGGGGCCTTCACGCCCTCACTGTGAAGAGGTGGGAAGGGAGGGGGCAGACACCACTGGAGTCCTGCCTCAGGCCCTAAGGGGTTAATGTTGCTCGGCCAGCCCCCACCCCAGACTGCACTAAGGGTGCTGTTTGCAAGGAACCTGAGGTGGGAGGCAGGCACGGGGAGGGGTGGTGAATTTCTGTAGCTGTTTATCCTGGAAGGAATGCTGAGGCTTGCAGAGAGAAGTGGGAATCCCAGGGGAGTATTCTTCCCACCGGACAGTACCACCCCTGTGACTCCTCCACGTGGAAAAAGGTGAACCAGGAGCTAGGGGTGAGCGTCCCTGCTTAACAGCTTTCCATTTGTTTACCCAAAAAATACTGTTCCATCATAAAAATTCCCAAAATAGTTCCTTGCCTGGCCAGACTGACTGGCAGGCGCCCAGCTTGGGAGCCCAGCCGTGCTGGAGACTGGCTCGGGGGAGGTGGAATTAGCTGGGAAGGCCTGGAGCTGCTGTCTGAGGACCACCGGGCCCACACATCCTGTGGGGTGGGGCACCAGGGCTAGGACCACAGCACGGTCTCTGGGGGGCTCTCTGGGCAGGGGCAGGATTTTCCTCACAGGCTGAGCAAGCCTATTTAGCTAAGCAGGGCTTCCTCTGCTCTTTGGGGTATGAGTGTCTCAGGGCTTGCAGGTGAGACCAGTGCTGTCCCTTCCACGGGAACGCTCTCTCCTGCACTAGGGCTCTGGCTGCTGCCTTCTCACCCCCCACAATGGCAGCTCTTCAGGGTCCCTCTCTCCAAAAAAGCCCCAGATAGGTCTCCATTGCATCTTATAGAATTCCACCTTTTCCCTTTGGAAAACGTACCACTGTTTGCATTTGTAAACGCTGGTACTTCCCAGAGTCTGTAAGGTCCTTGGGCACAGACCTTAACTCAGCACTTACCCCACTGCCTCGCCCAGTAACAGGCGCTCAGTGTGTGTCAGGTGTGGGTGAGTGCTCCCCCATCTGTGACCCCAGACATCTCCAGGTGCACACCAGTCTTATGCCAACCTGCATCTATTGGAGATGAGGGGGGAGAGATAAATAAAAATGGCTTCATTCCATTTGCCCAACCAATCTCCCCTCCTGCTCCTCCTAGCCAGAGCAGGACCTAAGGAAGGCAGTAGAGAAGTGGCAGAGTTATCCTCACTGAGGGTCCTTGCTGCAACAGCCCAGCTCTTCCAAGCAAATGTGGGCAGGCATTCTCACTGCCCACCAGAAGACATTGCTTTAATATACAGACCCCCTCCCTTCCTACCAGCATACCTTAAAGCTGTTTTAAGCTTTGCCAAGTGGGAATAAATTCAATCTCAGGAAATATTGATCTGCATTTTACTGATCTGCAGCATGAAATCTACCTTAAAACAGTGCCTTGCCTTGCAATTCAGCATCAAGCCCACACCACACCCAAGGAAGAGAGAGAAAGTGATTTGAAGAGTGAAGGTGTTTCCAGGCCATTCCACTCCACGAGTACAAGCTCCACTGCAAAAATCAGTAAAGACATGGCAGAAGTTTCCACAACTGCTCTCTGTTCCCACAAAGCCTGGCACCTTACAGCACTATTAAGTGGATTCTGATGCATCAGATGTATATATTTTATATATCTGGGGCCCTAAACGCAAGGCAACAACCGTGTGATACATAAAGCTGTCTCCATCCTATTTTAATAGAAAAATTACCTTCGAGAGTAATTTACCTGGAATGACCTTCTTTACATGCTGGTTCTAGAATCTGACCTCCACTTAGCATCCAACTACATTGTTACTGGCATCGTGTGGAGAAATCAGACCCTAGAGACAAGCAGAGGAAAACAATTCCCCAGAATTCCATCACTCAAAGATAATCACTATGCATTTCTGAAGGGCTTCCTTTTTCAAAAAAAGTTTAATATAGTGTTAAGATTTTAATTGACATGTAATAATTATACATATGTGTGGGGTACGATGTGATATTTCAATACTTGTACACAATGTATAATCAGAGTAATTGACATATCCATCATTTCAGACATTATCATTTCTTTGTGCTAAGAACATTCAGATTTCTTTCTCTTAGCTACTTTGAAATATACAATTAGTTGCTGTCAGCCATAGTTACCTCCTCTGCTATAGAACATTAGAAGTTACCTCCATCCAACTGCACCCCAGGGAGGCTTTCTAAGGCACATGTGTGCGAATGTGTGTTTATTATATCAAATCATAGAGTACAAACTTGAAAAAAGTTCTTTTGAAATTTACAAGTTGTGGAGTTTTTTAAATACAATAGACTTTTCAAACTATTGTCTGAATTTTCTGCACTGTTAATATTTGCATCAGATATTTTTTTTCAGTACTGAGGATGGAGCCCAGGGCCTTGTGCTAGGCAAGTGTTCTACAACTGAACCACGTGCCCACCCTTCCCCCAGAAAACCGATCTGACTTCTTTGATTTCAACCAGATGACAAGATTCATTGGAAAAAGTACCCCAAAGAACAAAGCCCAATCTTTATCCTCTCCACAGTTCCCTGTAGGGAAGCAGGTCCAAGAAGACCCTGAATCGCTCCCACAAATCAACCCTGAGCTCTGCCACCTTGGGCACTGCGCCCCACGTTGTACCATATGGGAGCAGGTATCCTGGTCACCAAGCTGCTGTTCTTTCCTGCCACTGGATGACATGGGGACTACTGGAGAGAATGCCTACACTAAGACACTTAGAAAACAAACTTCTTTCTCTACCCTACTCAAGCCATTTGTAGCCTGGGATTGTTCTTTTCTCAGTTGAGGAGAAAGGGATAATTTGGACAGCACAGGGGTCAGTTTCAAGGGCCAGCTAGGAAATATATATGTGCGTGTGTGCGTGTGTGTGTGTGTGTGTGTGTGTGTGTGTGTGTTCGACACACTAGTTTTTAAGACTCTAGGTCCATTTTGTTTTGCTTTCCTTAGTACTTGGTGGTTGAAGATCTAGTCCAAGATTGGCTAAGGATCTGCAAAATCCATGGTTTTGTTTAAGTATTTGGACTTTGATCTCTGAATGGGTACATAGAGGAATTAACTTTACAAAGAAAACAGCTCTGCTCAGATGAAAGAAATCACCAGCCGCTTGCTCCCTTGAGTGTAAAGATACTTCTATACCATGGCCAAATAGACTACTGAGGAATTTGATAATTACCTTTCCAGTTAGAATGGCACATATTCACCACTCAGATTCAAGAATTTGCTTAAAAATGCAACTATAAATAGTGCAGGTACTTCCAGAGTTTCTAACATCAGTCTTCCAAATTTCCTGTGCTTATGAATAGGCTGTTATTCAAAGCCACCCAACCACACTCAGGACTGGATTTGTGTGAGCCAGTACCTCATCACCACCTTTATATTTATTTATTTAACCACCTTGTTCCTGAAATAATTTAAGATGGCTTAAAAAAAAAAAAAGCACAGGTAGCATAACAAAAACAAAACAATAGATAAATTAAAAAGGAAACCAGAAAGAAAAAAGAAAGATGAAGATGCTAAGAATTAAATTTCAGTTATGGGCTGGGAATGTGGCTCCATGGTAGAGGTCTTGTCTTGCATGCACAAGGCCCTGGGTTCGATCCCCAACACCACATACATTAAAAAAAAAAGAATAATAATAAATAAATAAATTTTAAAATAAAATTCAGTTATGCAGGTAGATATAGCTGCAAATTTGAAGATATCTGCTCAAGATATAGCTACAAATTTGAACATGAGCTTCCTAGCAGGTAAAGAAAAAGGGGGAAAGTGGCATGGTCTGTTATATAGTTGTATGAGCATAAGCCAGGTGTTTAAGAGAAGCACTATATTCTTGGAACAAAGACCTAAGGGAAATTTCTTTCGTTGATCTTCATAAAGAAAACAATACTCTCACCATAAATATTACGACGAGTCCCCCAATGTTGACTCTTAAAACATCCCTCGATGTAGGCTAGTTGCTTCTTAATGAAGGAGAATTTATTCAAAGCTTCTCCACAGAAGACAAAAACCACATAATTGAGATGAATAGCTGATGTGATTCAAGGATACATTTTAAGAACTGAAGGAAGAGACTGCGTAGCCTTCAGACAACGCTCACGAACCTTAACTTCTCCCAGCCAGATATCGGTAGGCCTCGTGAGCACAGGAAGTTTGTGGCTGCCTCCTCAGCACCAGTGCTCATGATTCCAGATCAATACCACTCCATTTGCTGGAAGAGTAGCCAAGCCAGTCTACGTTCCGTGTTGCTGATCGGTGGTAGAGAGAATGCCACACCTCATCCCCTTCATCCTCTGTCTTCCCTTAGGGAAAGGCTTGCAATGTCAAGCTCTCTCCTTTCCTACTTTATCACTGAGCCCTCCCTGGGCCTATCTCAGGATAGCTTTCTCACACAGAGGAGCTCACAGCACACTTGAAATTCTCTAAGACACCCACCTGTTGTTCCAGACTCCATCTTTCCCCTTTAAGGTGCTCTCCAAACACTACCCGCCCACTCTCCCTTCCTTTCCTGCTCCCTAAATGTGCCGGGTTGACCAGGTACCCCAAAGAGCTTCACATTCATCTGTGGAGTTCTGTGTTCCAGGAGGGTGTTGGAGCAAGCAGACCCTTCTGGCCAGCAGGGTGTTTCTTCACGCGGTCGCCTAGGACTGAGCAGGCAGGATGATGCTGGCCTGCTGGATTCTGGGTGTCTCTCACTTCAGACTCAAGGACAACTCAGGGCTCTCACCATCAGTAGGACTTGAGCCACCTTGGCGGACTTTTACATCAGCTCTCTTCTGCTTCCCTCCCTTCCCCCCCCCAAAGTAACTGCCAAGAGACTCACACACCAACGGCCTCTCTACTGCCTACACAGGCGGTTCCTCTGCTAGCCCCATTCCCGTGCACACATAGTGATCTCAGAAGGAAATGTGTCTTTCTTCCTTCACTGTATTCCATTTATGAGAAAAATCCCAAGGCCCAGTCACATCTGATCAACTTAAACAGAGGGTTAATGACATCTTAGAGGAGAGATGAGAATGTCGTAACCATGCTGAGGAACCAGGATTATTAACACCCAAAGTCCATAGAAAATCTATACACTCCATCTGCAAGCTTCACAAAGTCCTCGCTACCTCCATTTCCAACTGAAGCTGCTCAGCTGTACCTCCAGCATCCATGATAATTAAAAACAACTTCTTACTTAGTTTTATAGCTTTCTATTTAAGCACTGATGGTACAAAAAGTGTGTTTCATACTTAAACTAACAGTCAGATGGAGCCAAAATTGATGTCTCACTGACAGGTGGCTCTGAACCACCGGTAGTGCCTGCATGACTGTCCCATTGGGTGGCGTGGGACAGCCCCATCAGGAAGTACAAGCCACCCAATGGGACAGTCACACCTGTATCACCAGCAATTCAAGCTGTCAGGAACATATTAATTCCACATGAGCAGTATTTGAAGTATACCTGGAGTTAACCAAGTTTCAGGGATGAACTAAACCTCCTAGTTACAATATATATCACTATTTTATGGGAAAGTGGATACCCAGTTCTAATAACCATTTTATAATTGAACTCCTGGTATATAGAGTTAGGGACTTCCTATCCAGTATCACATATTCAAAGGCAAGAATTGGGAACACTGACGACCATTGGCAGTAATGCCTGGGCGTCTACAGAAGGACAGATGCTCCCAGAAATTGTCTCTTCGATATTTACTTGAAACATAGGAGCACCAAATACTGTGAATCCTTCTGTGTGCACACAAAAGACACACAGAGATACACACACACACCCCACAAGAGTTCCAAGATGTAAGAGTTGGATCAGTCATTAAGGTGCTGTTTGCAATAACAGTTCCAGTTTGTTATGCAGGAATTTGTATTCAGGAGAATGAGGTTGTAATACAGACATTAGGGTCTGTATTTATTCCTTTCAGGCTGAGAACATGTCAACCTTTTATTAAAACAGTACTGCTTATGTTTTTGATCATGAAGATACAGACATGTATCTGTATAAAATTAAATTATTGATGGACGAGATAAAAAATGAGGATAGAAATACCA